AACGAATAATATGCTTGGTTAAGGATAAATTTTAAACAAGTTTTATACCAAGAGCACGCCAATAAGCATGATGAACTTTATGAAGAAGTCAATCAAGAAATTCAAGAAAAAAGAAAAGTGAACACTTTGATTAAATGTTCATTTTAGTGTTCACGTAAATCTTTAAATCCTACTTCATAGCACTTTATTTTGTTTGATTAAATGTTCATTTTAGTGTTCACGCAAATCTTTATATCCTACTTCGTAGCATAATTAAAATGAACTCGCACACTTTATTTTACATGCATTAAAGGATTCATAAATAATCTAATATAATCTAAGATAGATAGTTATGAAAATTCATCAAGGCTAATATGTTAAAATTGAAATGTTACATAAACCGATTGGTCATTTGGTATTATCATATGAATTAGTTGACCACTTATTCATCCATGATGAACACCTGAAAATTATGCAAGAATCAGTTGATTGACTAACCTGACCAATCTGAACTAGTTAATTGTTTTAATTGTTAGTGGGGTTGTAACAACTATAAACGACTATTTTTTCTTAGAATGTCTAATTGTGAAATTAGAAAAAGATTCCAAATATGTATGATATATAAGCTATTCTAAAAGTAAAAACACTATAAAATTATCAATCCTTAATCATACACTAATTTGTTCTATTCAACATTGATATTCTAGTAGAAGAACATTCAATCTCATTCTCATTATATTTAAACACTTTTAAATCTTATAAGTGCAGTATAGTGAGTTATAAAAATATTAGAACTTTTAATTGTATTATCCACTTTGTTGAGAGACTTAATTATGATAACAATATCATCACTGTAAACCTTTGAGAGTTTGGTAAAAACTCTTGGTATTTTTGAGGTAATATCACTAAGTGAAAAATATTAAATAGGGTATATCTTTAAATGATGTAAAAATCTTGGTGTAAATTCATCAAGTAATCATTGTGCTCTTGAACTTGAATTAGTAAAGGAATATAATACTCAAGTACGGTTAGATACTTGAGGTGCGGATGTAGACTCCTTAAACCACTTTAAAAATGAGTTTACAAATTATCTCCATTCTCTCTTTACTTATTACACAGTTACAAATTATCTCCATTCTCTCTTTACTTTAAGTGCTTTATTACACAATTGGTTATTATGTTTACTTAAATTAATTTATATTATCTATAGAATTTAGTGATACACTTAATTCATCCCTCTTTTAAGTGTTAAATTGACTTAATCTTTGAACAAAAACTCCTTTTATACATGTATCTTTTTTCATTTATATAAAAAAAAACTAAATAAAAATAGATTTCAAAAACTACATCTAGCATGGTGCAAATAAATAAAAAGTAATTAATTTATTAGCATTTTCAAATAAAAGAAATGCTAAATACCTATTTTTTTAAATCATATTTCTAGATTATGTACTAAGCTTGTCTACAGATTGACTCAACTAGCTAAAAATGATATGCATAAGCTTGTCATTATAAAGGATGTTCCACGTCAACTATATAATGTATCTTTTCATGCTATATCTTTTTGAGTTATGACGAACACCCTTGTTATCAAAGTAATAATGCCAATAATATGAAGATATTCAAAACATGTTAAAATTTTAAATACATTTTATTCATCAAATATTTCAATATAGTTATTAATGAAGTCTCAAAAAATCCAAGTGGTCCATGAATCAAGTTTACAAGTTGAAGTAATCTCATTTACTCTCTTTAGCTAAGGTGTTTGATAGCATATACATGGTGCATGGTAGACCAAGACATATACTTCGTGCTTGGTAGGCTAAGATGACTTATAACTAGTACTTGCAAAATGTCCTTTCTCCGATGGTCATTGCTTTGGGCATGCTCAAGAGAGGATGTCGTCATTTTCTTGAGCTTGCTAAAAGAAGTAGCCATTCCTTTAGGCATGCTAAAAAAGAAGTAGCCATTCCTTTGGGTGTGTTAAGAAGAATGATCATTCTCTTGGGCATGCCCAACACTTTGCATGTTGTCAAGCTCAGCGCATCTTCAATAAGCATGCTTGTTTTATTAAAAATTTATATTCGTAATTTTTTTATTTGGTTTTTTTGAGTAAAAATATACTGATAAAAATTTGATTCATCTATTACAATTTCTTAAATATTATTAATATTTATTACACTCAAATTCCATACATATCTACAAATCTTCAAAAACACCTCCACATCACATCAATATTTGCCTTTTTTTTTTTATCTGATTTAAAATATATATTATATGATTTTTAGTTGATATAAAATGCAGGCTTGTCTGGCCTCTTCCCAAAGACTCACCAGTTACATCCTCGGATGCCAAATTATAATGCAGCACATGAAACCATAACATGTAACTTTGTAGTTAAGAATTACGAAGAAATTATTCTTTTCTTTATTTGCGATAATTTATGTAGCACAATCCACAGAAACAAATGGTTTTCACATTCAAAAATTGTGGCAGAAATCTTTGTATTCTATCAGCTACTGTCATTTTCCTTCACAGGATCAGAGCTGACAATTGGAAGATTTTTTCTATATTGAGTAGATGTCAACCTTCTCTCTAACGGTGTTTTTCGTTTGCTCACAACAAATCTATTCACCCCTTTCCGCATTGGCATTATTGATGGGAAATCCTCATCTGGGATCTGGCTGAGCTCTGAGATGTCCTTGATCTGCGCAACACGTCGGAACCACCTTTCTGCCTTGGCCTCTTCAGACATGTCCAAAGGATCTGGTTCCTTCACTGCCGAACCTTCCAAGCTCTTTCCAGTCCAGCTATCCCCGACACTCTGATTCTTAGATGGTTGAGGTGCAGTTCCCGTGAAAATCTTCTTCTCACTGATATTCTCTTTCCAGGAAGATCCACTACTCTCGCTGTCATTGGTATTTGCGGGGGAATTATTGAAGTTTTGCATTGAGTTCCCCATTTGATTTGATGTCCCAGTGGCATTCGCACTCCTAGAATTTCCAGTGTTCCAACTATCCCTGCCAGCTGGCAGGGGATCAATAAAATTTTGGGTAAAATTTCCACCTGCCGATTCGTAAGTGGCACCTTTCTTTAAATCACTCTTCTCCCCAGACCAGCTCCCTGTACTGTCCTGAGCTGCATGGGTAACCCCAAGTCTGGCATCATCCAACTTCTGTGGATGCTTCTCCAGAGTTGCAGAACTTGAGGTTTCGCTAACACCTTTATCATGGGAATCTGTCTCATCTGGTTGCTGATTATCCTTTCTAGCAAAGTAGTTGGGTGGGAAGGGGACAAAGGGTACAGAATTTGTGGTGTTTGCTTGCTCCACGGCTGCATGTCTCTTGTACATTGGAGAAGTCAGAGACCGATCTTTCTTCTTGCTAACAACAAATTTATTCTCCCCTTTACGCAACGGCATGATCTCAGGGAAGTCATCATCTGAAATTGCACTTGTCAGATCAGTGACATTATGCAACTCTGCTACCCTCTTAAACCATCTCTCTGATTTTTCAGCTAGGTCTTTCTCGTTATCATCACTCAGATTCTGGTCCATCGACATCTCAGAGGGTTGGCAACTATCTCTTGATTTACCATGCTCACTGCGCTCAGAAATAACAACTTTCTGCTCACTGTTGCTTGAAGTAAGAGATTCATAGTTGACTGTCTCCAACTTCTCCCTCTCCTCCATATTTGAATTCTCAGGTTTCTTGGCAAACATGTCAGCAGGTAATGGCACAAACGGAACATAATTGGAATTGCTTCCTCTAGGGGCACTAAACAGTGGTGAAGCAGGGCTCCGATTGATAGTTTGGTTGAGGGGATTGGTTGTACCTATGTTTTGATTATCATTCCTTTCCCGAATGTCATCAGTACCCATGTTTTCTTGGTATTGAGAATTTGCCAACCTCCTTTCCAGCGGAGTCTTCCTTGTGCTGACAACAAATCTGTTCACCCCTTTCCTCAATGGCATTATTTCAGGAAAATCTTCATCTGCTATAGCACCATTCCTGTCCAAAGAGCTGTCCATCTGAGAAACATTGCCATACCTCTGCTGTGCCTTCTTTTCATTGGCAGCCAGCCTGCTAACCAGATCACTTTTATTTACATTGCTCCCACTGCCATATCCTATGTCTGATCTAGAGCTGGTGCTAACAGGTGAAACACCTCCTGGTCGCTTGCAATCACACCTTAAGCATACCATGTTCCTTGCATAATTATAGAAATCACATCTGCAAAAGAGAAAATTGATAGGAATTACTCAAAATCATAACTCAAACAAGGACAAACCAAGCTCCAAGCTTGTAGAAATGCCAAGTACAGACGAAATGCTTACTGAGGACACTCCCACTCTCCACCAGTAAGTTGCCTCTTGGGCCGTTGTTCATCACATTCAAGGCATTTCATGTTTCTTGCGAAGTTCATGAAACTACACCTGCTCGATAAAGATGGCAGTAAAAAAGTAAATCATCACATAATCACAACAATGAGAAACATATCTGAGTTTTGGTATCGTTTTCTTCATTCTGAAGTTATGATCCTCCAAGACAAACAAGTTATGTTAAAAAACAAGTTGAACATAAACATGAGAAGATCAAATAGGACTCTACCCTGGGCATATCCAGTCACCTCTTTTCATTTCAATGTTTTGCCCACGAGGCCTTGGTGTTTGTCCATATCTATCAAATGAACCATTTGGGTTTTCCTCCACAGCATTGTAGCCCAGCTGAGCCAACTCACTAAAGAGACTTCGAACAGATGGTTCCACAAGTTCTAAATTATGAAGATTGGTCTTCACAGAAGAAACAAAACTGCTGGCATAACTCAATAGAAACTTCATCAGGTCCACTGTCTGTGCTTTATCAGTATTTGGCACCTAGCATTTAATAATAATGAGAACACAGGGTACGGATTAAATATTGGCACCTAACATTTAATGATAACAAGAACACAGAATACAGATTAAATATTGGCACCTAGAAATGGTTAGAAAATGACTGCTTGATTTGGTGCAAAAAATCTTAAAAACAACTGCAGAGCATGGCCATTAGCCAGGCTTTTATAAGGCCTTCTTTCAGTGAAGGAAGGATTCAATTCAGTTACAACAACAAAAACAACAACAACAACAACAAGCATTAATCCCAAACTAGTAAAACGCTACTATAGTTAAGAAAAAAAAATGAAGAAAGAAAGAAAGATAGAAAATAACATGCTAATGTGAAAATTGCAAGTTCAAAGGCTCCAACAGAAATTAAGATAAACAGTATTTTAGCCCCGGGCTTTCCATCAGCACAATGTTTTTTTTAGATTGAAAGGTCTTCACTATCCACTTTAGCTGCACTACGACTTGGCAGTAAATAATAAATTTTTGTTGTCCTCTCAGATAGAATATAGGAGAAAGTTCCATCATCTGCATATATCACCACCAAAGACCCTTCTTCCTTTTCAGTCTGAATAATACTCAACATCGTTAATAGATCATACAGTAAAATGCAGTTCCAATTTAGTTCAGGAAATGCTATTCTAACAAACTGAGAACTCAAAGGGTGCTTTAAAGACACCCAGAATAATCACCTGCCATTAACAAGGAACTGTCACTTTTTTGTACCACATTAAAATGTCCCTGAGACTCCTCAAAGTAGATCTTATTCCAATCAATGTTTAACCATTGAGAACATGAAAGGAATTAGCCTTCAAGGTCTCACTATCAACATCAAATTTCACCTAGCACCTTATACATGCCTGAAGCACTCTTTTTTTACAGCACTGAATAAAAGAACTCTAAACTTAGGTAATTAATGTACTAGGGCCTTCTTTCTGAATTTGCCTGAAATTCATACATGCAATTCGTGAAACAATGAAAAATAATTTCGATCCCAACATAATGTTAACAGAAACTACTCGTGCATGATTTGTGACCTCAACAACCCAAATTCAAGGAAAATATCAACCTTTTGAAATGTCCAAATGCTGAGGAATGCACACAAGATTGGAAGACCTTATCCTATAAGCAGACCTATATAAAAATCTTGAAAACAGATAGTTTCCTAAGAAGTAGAAAACTTGATGGCATCATTGTTATCCACTGAGACAAACTGTCAAAGCTTCTGCTTCCTAGTTATTAAGTACTTAAATCAACCGTTTCCAATAAACTCAGATGTATCAGAAATTGAAATAGGAACTCCTAATAACAGGTAAAAAAGGTTTTGAACCAAGTAAAAGCAAATTTAAGGTTGTTTTACTAACAACTATTGCCTATATCAACCATCCCCGTTCCTGCAGGACAAAGGCAATATTTCACACTATCTTGAACTCCAATTCCCTGATATTATACCCTTTCATTGCAATCAGCATTTAATGGATTCAAATTACAAATGGGCTATGTGCACCCAAATATCAACTTTCAAAAGCCCTCCCTACATCCCTCTGTTTTAGGATCACTTTTTTTCCTCTTTCCTTGAGCTCTCCTTATCGTTTAATATGTTTTTTCTAAATTATTAAAAGCCAAATGGTTGACACATATAGCCTCAAGTCAAGTGGTAAACCTACAGATTTAGCTTTCGAGATAAAAAACACATCACTTTTTTTTTAATCACCAAACTGCTACGACAAAAACACACACACACACTTTTTTTTAATCTTACTTTTTTTTTAATCACCAAACTGCTACGACTACTACATTGACGCAAGTTTTATTCCTGAATTTTCAAAAAAATGCACTAATCTAGCTATTTTTGTTTGCATTTCAATTTAAACATGCATCGAAACAAATCATCTATTCACCCATCTCAAATTTCATACAACACACACACACCCCATAAATTCCCATGCTTATCAGCTTCTACTTTCAACATCCATTTAAATGAAAATGCAATGAATAGAAAGACAAAAACAAGAACCTACCGATAGGAAATTCCATTAACAAAACAAAGAACAGAAACATGAACTTCTTGCATAAACAATTTTCACAAAGACTCACATCACTATCACTTCCATGCAAAAACAAGCTCATCCTCCTCACTGAATCGTCACTATTCTTGAACAAAAATGGCAACCCACTTTGAACCACGACCTCAATATCTCTTCTCGAAAGCATCCTACAATAACCATCAACAAAAACAATCACATAATAACGAAAGCTCTACCTCATAAAAAAAAAATCAATCCAAATGAACACCACATGTATTAACTGAAAACCGACCCTAAAGCCAGAGGTTTATCACGCGCAAAAGCTAAAGAAGCAGTGCAAGAACGCAAAAACCCCTCTGACAAATCATCAACTGAGGTGAGATCATCACTTGGAGTGTTAGAACCATGCTTGATATTAAAATAACCGGCCGCAGAGAGGTTGTTAACAAATTTAGACCACTCTGGCCAGGGGTCGGAGAACCCGGAGGTAGAATGAAAGGAAGTGGATGTGGAAGGGGAATCGGATAAATGGGCAGTGCTATGGAGTTGTTGGTGGTGCTGGGAAGGGGAGGAATTGGATTTTAAAGGGCGGGGAAGGGAGAGAGTGAAGAGTTTATGGTGGTGGTGGGAAAGGGCGGAGACAGATGAGGGAATGTGGTGGCGGGTGAGGCGGAGGATCGATGGGTAACGGAGTGGAGAAGGAACGGTGGTTGTGGTGGTGAGGAGCATGAGGAACCTGGTGGCGTTGCTGCTCATTTTGGGAGAGGGGTGTTTAAGGGTAGAAATGCATGGGAATGAGTGGTGGTGAGGTTTAGGGTTTGTGGTGCTACAACCCCTCTGGTGATGGTGGATATTTTTGGGGTGGAGTAAAATGTCTAGGCCTAGCCTGCTGGCTAGAAATTAAGGATGCAGATTTCCTACCCTGGAAATATCAAAGCGAAGCAAACGACGTGTCTTCAATGCTTCACTGCACTCCAAAGAATTTCAAGTTCGTTTTTAAGAGAGAGACGTGTTTAAAAACATTAAAAAAAAAATTATAAAAGCGTTGTATTTTTTTAATATAAAAAAATCAATCACAAATTTAAAATTTGATAATATTCCTTTCAAATGCTAAAATATAATAATATAAATTTAAAATTTGATATATAATAGATAATATTCCTTTCAAATACTAAAATATGATAATATTTTTTTTACATGCTAAAATAGTAATATATTAAATGATATTTTTTAAAATAATTTTAAAATAATAAAATATTGGATCGATTCTAATCGATCCAAATAAATCATATGCATTTCACTATTCTATTGAAAAATTGTTTTGCTCTTACCAAACTCTAGCTTGATAATTTTCATCATTAATTAAGGATTCAGCCCTAAGATTTTATAGCAAACTTAAAAACAATAATTTATAGATGTTTTATGATTAATTATTTCATATGACACTTGCATCTTATATATTTTTGTAGCTATTAGGACAAAGTTAATCGATGCTTATTAACTAAATACCATCATTGCTTCTTTTATGAGAAAAGAAGTTTATGACTTATAGGTGATGTGAATCTCGTAATCACATGATCACATAATTCATAACAAAATTGAAAACCAACACAAGTAAACTAAATTCCAGGTTTGGAACCTTAACCTAGAAGTAATCTTGTACCTATTAGAAACATAATTTAGATTTAGAGACAACATTATACTTAAAAACCCAAAGTATTCAAATGACATTACAAAACCAGTTAATTTTTAATAAGTTAGTGTACAATCTTTGCTCTTGTAAAAAAAAAAAAATTGTTTGTAACACGCAAAAAAAACCATATTTATTCAAATCATCATAGCTGTCAAAACTTGCAGCTATAAATGTAATATATAGTTCCCTCTAAATAACCATATTAGATCTCTTTTGGGTTGCAAGCCATTTAACCCTATATAGTAATCAATTAACTCAAGTTTAATCTTGAAACAAACCCTAAAACAATGTATAATGGACTAAAACAAACTTAATTAACATCATAAAAAAAAAAGTTATTTTGCTTGAAATCCCTATACATGCTCAAGACTTCATGCTCCAAATTAGCTAGGAATTTTTTTTTTAATTACTAGAATTTTCTTCCTTAAATTGCCTCATCTTAATCTCCTTAATATGTGGGAAAATCCTGTAAAATAAGAAAAAGAACAATAAAAGAATCTCAAACCTCCTTTCCACCATATATATTCTATAATGCATATAAAAATCCTTTCAAACTATGGATAATAGTTATTGTCATAAATGTTTCATTGTTTGATATAAAATCCTTATACAATAGAAAAGCTAATAGCTTCCACACATGTTTCCAGTAACTTCTACCCTCTAAAATAATTCATTCATAAACTCTAAATGACCTAAAACATTAACTCGATGTAGAACAACAAGTCTAAAAACTCTTGTAATAATTTTAGTTTAATCCAATAGTTGAGTTAAAAGTTATATTTGATATCATAAAACTAAATAGAGAATTTTATGCCAAAATCTAAATTTAACCTTACTTGGATTGTATGAATAGACCTTCAACCTCTATGTGACATTGCCATATTAAGCTTTCCCTCATTGTGGAAAATCCCCTGTTATTGCCTCCTGTTGGAGTTTAAGCCATATCTCAATCCTAGTGTGTTGAATGCCAATTACTAAATAAATAGTTCTAAAGCGAACATCCCTTTCTTAAAAGTGAGTTCTCACTTCTTTATTTCATTTTATAAATGTTAGCTAACCTACAAAACATGTGACCAAAATCATGAGACTATAATAATCTCATAAAAAGCAAATTGAAATAAATTAAGAAGTTCAATTTCTAATAAGAAATTTTTTTAAAGGAATAAAAAAAATCAATTTAAAAAATAAGACAAAAAATATATTAAGTCAACTCGGATAAACTCATTAAACTTATGACGTGATTCATGAGAATGAGATTTCCCTATAAAAAGAAAATTGAAAAAAAAAATTAAAGCTCACCTTTCAACCAATCCATTGTTAAAAGAAATAATTGAAAAACAAATATATTTAAAAAAAACAAAAAACTAAGTCAACCTGGCAAACTAATAACTTAGGTTATAAAATTAGGATAACATAATAGAAAGAAAATTTTAAAAAATTCTCAAAGTACAATTCCCAACCACTTAAACTTTTGACCAAAATCATAAGAACAAGATACCCAGCACAAAGCAAATAAAAAAAATACAAAGCCCATCTTTTAACTAACTTATTATTAAATGATAAAATAAAAAAAATAAAAAACATCTAAGTCCATTTAAGTTATCCCATTAAACTCTCAACTGTGTCATGATATCATGATAACTTAATAAAAAATAAGCTAAACAAAACATAAAGCTCAATTCCAAACAAACTAAACATGTGGCTTAATTCATGAGAACTAAATCACTTTATCAAAGGAAAATAGGCAAAAAAAAATTATGAAGCTTATTTGTCAATTAACTCATTATTGAAGGATAGAGTTAAAAAAGAAACAACCAAAGAAAAAAAAGAAACTAACTTGGATTAACCTTGTAAACTCATGATCCATGTTATGAGACCAAGATAATTTAATAAAAAACAAATAAGAAAAAATTACAAATTTAAATTGCCAACAAGTTATATGTTGAAGGCCAAAACTAAAAGAATAATAATTAATAAAAAAATAAAAAAGAAATAACACGATTTAACCCTGGCTAACTCTTGAAACTTATATCTCAAATAATAAGATCAGGATAAACCTTTTGAAGGAAAATAAAAAAGAACTACGAAGATCAATTCCTAAACCAATCATTTATTGAAGGGAAAAACTGAAAAAAAAAACAATTTGAGAAAAAAAAAAGAAAAAAAACACGAGTCAACTGATCAAATTTAAGGGCCTTGTTATATGATCAAGATAATCCTATAATAAATAAATCAAAAAAATTGTAAATCTTAATCCTTAACTAAGTTAATGCTAGAATGAAATTGAAAAAAAAATCAATTTAAAAAAAAACCTAAAAAGATTAAAGTCAACTTGAGCTAACCTTCCAAACCCATGACTTGGGTCATGAGAATAAGATAACTTTATAGAAGGTAAATTAAAAAAAAAATCATGAAACTCAATTCCTAATAAACCCAATGATGAGAGATAAAATTGAAATGAAAATCAAGTAAAAAAAAGGACCCAAAATAAAATAAAGGGCAATAAAAAGAAATAGGATGAAATCTAACATAAGAATAAAATGATAGATCCCCTTACTATTTTCAAAATAAGAAGAACAAAAACCAAAGAGATTAAAGAGAAAAGAGAGAAGAGAAGAAAAAAAGACGCCATCCTCCTCTACCATCTATATGCACCACATCACTAAGATGATTGAGCTGAGGCATTTCCATTGCCACCAAGGATAGAGATGTTCAATCTTTAAAAGAAGTTACATGTACCGCACAGAGCATGATGACTTCCTTTACACACCACCCTATTTGCAACTGTTCTTAACCTCGATATTTATAGTTTTTATCAGTTTTAAATGTAGCCCTTTAAGCCTTAATTATTTTAGATTAATGAAATTAAACTTTATTTTGCAAAATCTAGCATTAACTAGATGTTGGAATTTTTCTCAACATCTTGTGTCCTTATTTTTAGTAACCGAAAAACATTATTAAGTCTAATTAAAAAAACATAGTTTCAATGGTTTAAGTTAAAAAACAAATCAAGGTTCTAAAAAAAATTAATATTTCCCTACCTGAGTATTCAATCTTTGATTATGTAAAGAAAAAAAAAGATCAAATAATTGTGTATCATTCAAATTCAACCTTCATTGCTTCAATTATTTTAAATTAATAAAATTTAATTTAATTTTTCTGAACTAAACATCAACCAAACGATAAATTTATTTTTCAAACACCTTAAGATCCCATACACTAGATAGCAAAACCAAACCACCCAATCCAATTTCAAATAATTGCAACTTTAAAGGAATAAATCAAGAAAAAAAAAGCCAGGGATCAAAATGAAAAATAAAAAAAATAAAGGATAAAAAAAAAACTCTATGAATTGTTATTGTAATCTATAG